TCCGGGGGAGCCTGACGCTGTGCCTCTCGCAGCCCTCGAACCCTGGGGAGCTGGAGCTGCCTCGAGTGCACCTCAAGGATGGGGAATTCACCTGCCGAGCTCAGAACCCTCTGGGCTCCCGGCACGTCTCCCTGAGCCTCTCCCTGCAGAGTGAGTGTCAGGGGCTGCACACCAGACCCCCAGCAACATCAACCTGCAGCCCCCAGGTCACCGAGCCAGCGGCCCCCTGGGCTCAGTGTGGGGAAGAGGGCTGTGCCCAGCTCAGCGTCACACTCAGCCATGAGCCCAGAGCATCCGCGGGGCCAGAGCCCTCCGTCTCCTGCTGGTCAGTCTTGGCAGGGGTTGGGGAGCCCTGTGCTGACGTGGCCCCACACGCAGGGACACAGCAAGGGCCTGGGGAGCCCACAGACAAGTCCCGATGAGGGAGGAAGGACACGGGGCTGCGGTTTCACAGGTGAATCTGGCTCATCCCACTTTTCCGCAGGGAAATCGGGGTCCGTGGCAGAGGTGGCTCTGGTGGCCGTCGTGGAATCTGCTGTGAAGATCCTGCTTCTCTGCCTCTGCCTCATCTTCCTCAGGTCAGCGCTGCCCCGGGGACCCGGGGGGACGGTGGGAGAGCCAGGGACACGGCGCTGACCCCACAGCCCTGTGCTGGAGGGACCAGAAAGGGGCAGGAGGGCCTGGGCCAGGCGGGAGGCTGAGCTGGTGGTGAGAATCCCGCATGGCCAGTGGTGTCTGTTCCCAGCTCTGGACCAGTGTCTGGGATGGGGAGGTTCTTGCTGTCATCGAGGAGGCCTTGGGGCTAGACCTGCTCTCTCCTCCTCAGTCCCCTCCCGCCCCTGACAGGGCACAGGGAGGTGAGGCTGCTGCCCTCTGCACCCTGGTCCAGCCCCAGTGACAGGCCCTGGTCTGTTCCCTCAGAGTGAGGTCCTGCAGGGGGCAGGCGGCTCGAGCAGCAGGGGGCGTGGAGGATGCAGACACTGTCACCGCCTAATCCCTGAGGTGAGTGACACTCGGTCTCACCCTCCCACATCCCACTGGACACCTCCCCCATGATGGCCTCCAGGGTCTCTCTGCTCAGAATGGCCAATGCTAAGCTGCCCGTCTCCTCCCCGAGACCCCTTGTCCTGCTGGGATCCCTGTCCTCCTGATGACTCGGTGGCTGAATCTCCATATGCAGAACCAGGGTGCGGTTCCCCACCTTGACCCCCGTCCCCCACATCCGTGCGTCATTCACTCTTGTCCCTCCTTCTCCTGAGCACGGCTCATCCCTGTGTCCTTTTCTCCAACCCGGCCCTGGTCATTCCTGCTCCCTCACCTCTTCCCTGCTCCCTGAGTCCACCCCACCCCCTGCCTCCGTCTCCCCAGCGCAGGCCTCCAGACTGTGCTTCTAGATGCGTCCTCGTCCAGCCCTGCCCAGTGTGAATGGCCGTGTTTCCCCCATGGCTGGAGAACGAGGAGCAAACGCCACGGCCGGGACTGGGGGCCTCGCCGGACTCTGCTCCTGATCCCTCCATTCCCTGCATCTCCCAACGTCTCCCCACACCCACCGGGCCAAGTCCTCTGCGACCTGACACTTTGCATGTGTAGTTCCTTCTCCTGAAACACCCTTCCCTCCCCATTTCTGCCTATACATCCTGCTCATCCTTCAGGCTCAGCCTTAAATGTCACTCAGGGTTGTGTGTGTTCCTTGTATGCTTTTGAGTGGAAGAGAGACACTCAGTCCTTCAGTCATTCCTAGACTCACTCAGGAGGAATCACTGGACACCTACTACGTGCCAAGACTGTCACAGTGTGAGAGTCACATCAGTGAATTTAACTTCAACAGTCTCTGTCATCCAAAGCCTTGAATAGTCGTGCTTCCAAAGAGGAGATACAAGAAGCCAATGAGCACATGGAAGGATGTCAACGTCATAGTCGTTTGAAAAATGCAAAAGAAAACTACAAATGAGATGCTACTTCACACCCATTAGGATAGCTGTTATTTAAAGAAAAGAAGAATACAACAAATATTTGCAAAGTTGTGGAGAAATTGGAATCCTTTTGCATCGCATGCAAAACGGTGTGATCCTGTGGAAAACCCCTTGGTATTTCCTCCAGAAGTTAAGCATAGAATTAGCAAGTGGCCAGCTATCCACTCCCAGATATATTCTGAAAGGAACTGAAGGTGTGGACTTCAGCTGCTGCATCTAAGCCAGTGTTCACAGCAGCGTTACTCACAGCAGCTGAACAGTGGAAACAGCGCAGTGTCCACGGATGGATGAGTGGAGAAACAGAAAGTGGCGCTCACATCCCACGAGATATTCTCTAGCCTTCAACCAGGAGGGACAGAATTCTGATGCCACAGTAGGGGTGAACTCGGAAACAATATGGAAAGTGAAATAGTATGGTAAGCCAGACACAAAAGGACAAATATCGTGTGATTCTGCTTATATGAAATTATATGCAAATTAATGGAGACAGAAAGTAGCACGGTGGTTGCCAGCGGCTGGGGCCCCGGCGGGGACGGGCAGGGATTGTGCAACTGGTGCAGGGTGTTGGTCTGGGATGATGAGAAAACTCAGGAAATCGATAGTGGTCATGGTTGCGCAACACTGAGAATGTGCTTAATGTCACTGAATTGTTCCCTATGAAATCTTAAAAATGGCCAAGTGTTGACAAGGCTGTGGAGAAATTAGAATTCGTGTGCATCGTTGGTAAGAACAGAAAATAGTGCACCTGTCACAGAAAGCAGTACGGTGGTTCCTTAAAAAGTTAAAACTAAATGATGATATCATCCAGCAACTCCATTTCTAGGTACACACCCAAGAGGAAGGAAAGCAGGGACTTGTGCGGATTTTTATGCATGCATGTCATAGCAGCATTATTCAATGTACCTAAAATGCAGAAGCAACCCAAGTGTCCACCAACAGACGAATGCATAATCAAAAAATGTGTTATATACATACAACAAGTATAAGTCAATCTTAAGAAGGAAGGAAATTTTGACACATGTTGAAACATAGATGAACCTTGAAGACATTAGCTAAATGAAATTAGGCATTCACAAGAGTACAAATACTGTACGATTCCACTTTGCCGAGGTATCTAGAATAGGCACGTTCATAGATAAAAAAAGCAGATGGCTGGTCGCTGTGGGCCGGGGCAGGATGGAGTAGGGAGTTACCATTTTGGATGTGCGTGCTCTTTGGGATGTGTGTTGAAGGTCGAGCCGACAGGGTTTCCTAATGGGCGTGGTCAGCGAGGGGACGGGAAGAGCGAGTGCGACACCGCGATGCCGCAATGTGCTCCCAACCACTCAGGAGGAAGGATCTGTGTTCCACAGAGAAGCAGACATTTGAGGGCGGATGTTAATTCTGAAAATCTAAATGGATACGAGGTAGACAGCAGGATGCAAATGTCTGGAGATCAGAAGAGGAATCTGGAGATGTTAAGGTTACAATGACCAAAACATCTTATAATCTTTCCACAGTTCTGTCCCCCATCACCACTTTCAATTTCCACGGACCTGGTTACCCGTGGTGGAAGACAGTAAGATTTTGACAGAGAGAGGGACCCCACTCCCATAACTTTTATTATGGTATATTGGTATAATAGTTCTATTTTATTATAAGTTATTGTTGTTAATTTTTTACTCTGCCTAATTTGTAAATTTAATTTCATCGTAGGTATGTATGCACGGGAGACAACGTAGTATACACAGGGCTCGGTACCATCTGCAGCTCCAGGCATCCCCTGGGGGTCTTGGGACGTGTCCCTCGTGCATTTACTCCTGTAGTGTGAATCTCTGTAGCATAAAGTGATGACAAGAGACGAGGCAAAAAGTCAGTGATGAGTCTGACACTTCCTCAAATAATTAAAAAGAAAATTAACATTGTGATCCAATAATTCCACTTATGGTTATACATTGAAAAGAAATGAAAGTAGGGACTTGAATAAATATTTGTGCACCCATGTTCCTGGCGGCATTATTCACCAGAGTGACGAGGTGGAAACAACCCCGGTATTTCTGGAAAAACAAATAAATAAGCAAAAAGTGGTGTATATTAATACATACGTTGGAATAGGATTCAGTCTTAAAAATGAAAGAAATCCTGACCCGTGCGACCATGGGGATGAAGGTCCAGGACACAGTGCTGCAGGAAAGACCAGGGCTGCAGGTTCCGCTGGTGGGGAGCCAAGGGGTCCTGTTCCCGGAGACAGTCAGTGCGGCGGTGGTGGCCAGGCACCGAGGGCGGGGAGGGGAGTTGCTGCTTAATTGTCACAAAGTTTCAGTTTGGCAATACAGAAGAGTTCTGAAAATTGGGTGCACAACCACGTGAATATGCGTAACAGTACTGAACTGGGCACAGAATAGTTACAGTGGTGACGTCTGTATTATGTGTCTTTTACCACAATTAAAACGTGTTTGAAGAAGGGGGAAGCTGATTGTAGGTAGAGAAAAGAAGGTGGAGCTGGGAAGATGTGGTGAGGAAAAGCCAGCTGAGAACCAGGCTGCGTCCGTCTGTCCCTCAGTCCTTTGAACGGCCCTCCCCTGCGGGGCCCCAGAGCTGATTTCCCCACAACACGGGAACCTGCTGACTGGGGCCCCGTTACTCTCTCTCACGGCACCCCGTTCCAGTACACCAGACTTTAAACTAAAAATAAAACCTAAGCCCCCCTCTGATTGAACAGACCCCTCTTGGCCAAGGGGACCCCAGAATAAACCTCTTTACATATTTTACAGAGTGCCCAGTTCTTTCCATTAACAATTTCTGGTGCCCGATGTGTGGCTCGGAGAAGACTCAGGGCTCCACGAAGGAGAAGACTGAGCTCCACGCTAGGTACCGGCGTGGGCTGCGCTTCGGCCCCCGACTCTCAGCTTCTCCTCGGGCGGATCTGATCTTTCCTCCTGAGCCCTGGAACCTCCCGCTCTTGATTGACGGTCTGTGATTTATTCTGAGCTGTCTGTTCTTTTCCTAGGAAGTTGTTGATGGGGATCCTAATTTTGTTTTGGAGGTGCATTCTCCAGGGTCTCCTCCATTGCCTCTTTCTCCAAAAGTAATCTCAATTGGCTCCTCTACGCATTGGGGTGAGAAACCAAACTGTCCTCGTCCTAGGTTAGCAAGAGACTGAGCTTCCCAGCTCCACGACATTAAATCCCAGACGACAGTTTGGTTCCACCAAGAAATAAAAAGGAAAAACAGGTGAGAAACAAACTCTCTAAAAATGAAGAAACACAAAGAGAACGACCCCCTTTGGGCACCCGAGTTGGTTTATGTTGTCTCTGTGTGCAGGTATTTGTGTTCATAGAAAGGTTCAAAGGCATACCAGGTGTTCTAGGACTCCAGAGGGTTACATATTATGGCTTGTTCTCATGCACGTGTTTAAGCTGATGGACAAATGGCACCAAGGAAAATTCAGTGCTCAAATGATCAACCTGCCACTGCAGAGTTAAAATAGAGAGCCTGTTAAGATCCGTCCATCTCTATATTTTATTTTGTGCCTACTCTGAATCTGCTAACTTTTTCTATTGCCGTTGAAGTAAAACTCCCTGTTTATAGTATCACTAATTCAAGGCTACTTAGAGACCTTGATTTCTTATACAGTTCAGTCAGTTCTAGCTAAAACGTAAACACTGAAAACTCATTTGAAACTGAAGGGGGGAAAAGGCGCAAAAGAGGTTTTCGAGATCAAATTGCCACGGAAACTTCTTTACCCCAAACTTTGGCCCACAGTCAAGTTACCTATTGGCAACCAGAGTTTAGCCATGTAAACAAGCTCCCGATTTTGCCAAATTCCAAGGTTGTCAAAATTATAATTTATAGCCACATATCTTTCATAAACTGGTGAGTTTGTATTAATGTCTCATGACTAGAGTCCCAAGATAAAAGCCATTGGATCTTTGAGTGTGTGTGTGTGTTTAGATGTCTGTGTGGACGGGGGAAGAGCTCTCACTGTGTGGGGGTCCCAGCTTCCTCTTCTGTGGACTGCCAAGGT